AAAAAATACAAATTCTTCTCAAACTCTTCCAAAAAATTAAAGAGAAAACACAAACTCATTTTACAAGGTCAGCACTATCCTGATATCAAAGTCAGACAAGGACACTACAAGAAAAAGATTATAAGCCAGTATCACCAATAAACATAGATGCAAACATCCTCACCAAAATACTAGCAAACTGAATGGAATAGCACATTAAGAGGATCATTCATCATAGGAAAGTAAGATTTATGCTGGGGAGGAAAGGATGGCTCAACATACACAAATCAAAAATTGTGATACACTACATTAACAGAATGAAGGATAAAAATCATATGATCATCTTAATATATGCATAAAAAGCATTTGATGCAATCCACAACTCTTTCATAATAAAAACTCTCAACAAATTAGATAAAGAAAAAAATGTATTTCAACCTCAAAAATGTTGTATATGACATATCCATAGTTGAAATCATACTCAATGGTGAAATGCTGAAAACTTTTTCTCTAAGACCAGAACTAAGACCAAGATGCCCATTCTCACCACTTGTATTCAACATAGTACTGGAAATCTTAGCTGGAAATATTAGGCAAGGAAAAGAAATAAAAAGCATCCACATTTGAAGGGAAGAAGTTAAATTGTCTCTACTCACAGATGCCATTATCTTATATAAAGAACACCCTAAAGACTATACCAACAAATCTGTTGAAACCTAATTTAGTGAAGTTTCAGAATAAAAAAGTCAACAGACAAAAATCAGTTGCATTTCAATACACTAACAACAAACTATCCAGAAAAGAAATTAAGTCAGGTAGCATGATGCCTCCAGCTTTGTTCTTTTTTCTTAGGATTGCCTTGTCTATTTGGGCTTTTTGTTGTTGTTGTTTCATATGAATTTTAAAAATAGTTTTTTTCTAGTTCTGTGAGGAATGTTGATGGTAGTTTAATAGGAATACCATTGAATCTCCAAATTGCTTTGGGCAGTATGGCCATTTTTATAATATTCTTTCTTCTTATCCATGAGCACAAAATGTTTTTCTATTTGTTTGTGTCACCTCTGATTTCTTTGAGCAGTGTTTTGTGGTTTTCCTTGTAGAGATCTTTCACTTCCCTACTTATCTGTGTACCTAGTATTTTATTCTTTTTGTCACAATCATGAATGAGATTACACTCCTGATTTGACTCTCAGCTTGACTGTTGGTGTATAGGAATGCTAGTGATTTTTGCACATTGATTTTGTATCCCAAGACCTTGCTGAAATTGCTTATTGGCTTAAGAAGTTTTTGGGCTGAGACTACGGGGTTTTCTAGATATTGGGTCATGTCATCTGCAAACAGGGATAGTTTGACTTCTTCTCTTCCTATTTGGATGTCCTTTATTTCTTTCCCTTGCCTGATTGCCCTAGCCAGGACTTCCAATACTATGTTGAATAGGATTGGTTAGAGAGGGCATCCTTGTGTTGTGCCAGTTTTCAGGGGGAACACTTCCAGTTTTTGCCCATTCAGTATGATGCCGAATGTGGGTTTGTCATAGATGGCTCTTATTATGTTGAAGTATATTCTTCAATACCGAATTTATTGAGTTTTTTTTTTTTTAACATGAAGTGGTGCTGCATTTTAGTGAAAATCTTTTCTGCATCTATTGAGATAATCATGTGGTTTGTGTCTTTACTTCTGTTTATTTGATGAATCACATTTATTGATTTGGTTATGTTGAACCAACCTTGCATTCCAGGGATAAAGCCTATTTGATCATGGTGGATAAGCTTTTTGATGTGCTGCTGGATTTGGTTTGCCAGTATTTTATCGAGGATTTTTTGCATCAATGTTCATCAAGGATATTGGCCTGAAGTTTTCTTTTTTGTTGTATTTATGCCAGGTTTTGGTATCACAATGATGCTGGGTCATTGAATGAGTTAGGAAGGAATCCCTCCTTCTCAATTTTTTTGGAATAGTTTCAGCAGGAATAGTGCCAGCTCTTCTTCATACATCTGGGAGAATTCATCTGTGAATACATCTGGCCCTGGCTTTTTTTGGTTAGTAGGCTATTTATTACTGACTCAATTTCGGAGCTCATTATTGGTCTGTTCAGGGATTCAGTTTCTCCTGGCTCAGTCTTAGAGTGTATGTATGTCCAGGAATTTATCCATTTCTTCTAGATTTTCTAGTTTATGTGCATAGAGGTGTTCATAATATTCTCTTGTGGTTGTTTATATTTCTATAGGGTGAGTGGTAATGTCCCACTTGTTGTTTCTGATCCCCCTTGTGTTTATTTGAATCTTCTCTCTTTTCTTCTTTATTACTCTAACAAGCAGTCTATTTATTTACTTAAAAATAAAACCCAGCTCCTGGATTTGTTGATCTTTTGAATGATGTGTGTGTGTATGTGTGTATGTGTATGTGTATGTCCTTCAGTTCAGCTCTGATTTTGGTTATTTCTTGTGTTCTACTAGCTTCAGGATTTATTTGCTCTTAGTTCTCTAGTTCTTTCAGTTGTGATGTTAAGTTGTTAACTTGAGAGCTCTCTAACTTTTTGATATGGGAATTTAATCTTATAAATTTCCCTTTTAATACTGCCTTAGCTGTGTCCCAGAGATTCTGGTATGTTGTACCTTTGTTCTCATTAGTTTTGAGCAACTTTTTGATTCTGCCTTAATTTTATTATTTACCCAATGTGGTACATATACATCATGGAATACTATGCAGCCATAAAAAGGAATGAGATCATGTACTTTGCAAGGACATGGGTGGAGCTGAAGGCCCTTATCCTTAGCAAACTAGCTCAGGAACAGAAAACTAAATACCATATGTTCTCACTTAAAAGTGGGAGCTAAATTATAGGAACACATGGACACCTAGAGGCGAACAACACACACTGGGACCTATTGGAGGGTGGAAGGTAGGAGGAGGGAGAGGATCAGCAAAAATAACTAACGTGTACTAGGCTTAATATCTGGGTGATGAAATAATTTGTACAATAAACCCCGATGACACAAGTTTACCTATATAGCAAACCTGCACATGTACCCCTCAACTTAAAATAAAAATTAAAATATTAAGAAATCAATCACTTTACAATAACATCAAAAAACTTTACAAGTAAATGTAACCAAAGAGGTAAAAAGATCTATATACTGAAAACTATAAAACACGGATAAACGAAAAGATATCCCAGGTTCATGGATTGGAAAGTTAATATTGTTAAAATGCTCATTCTACTCAAAGTTATCTACAGATTCAATGTAATAATTATCTAAAAAAATCAAGTTCATAGAAGCAGAGAGTAGAATAGTGGTTGCCAGGGAACAGGGATTGGGAGGAATGGAGTGATGTTGGTCAAATGGTAGAAAGTTTCAATTATTCAGGAGAGAAAAGCTCTGGAGATCTATTTGTTATTTTCTATTCATTTTTTAACTTAGAGTTCATTTTCCCTTGTATGGAAATCTAATGTACAGCATGGAACTGTTGTTAACAGTGCTGTGTTGTGTACTTGAAATTTGCTAAGAGAATAGATCTTAAATGTTCTCACCACAAAAAAAGGTAACTATGTGAGGTAGTAGGTATGTTAACTGATTGTGATGATTACTTCACAATGTATACATATATCAATACATTACATCTCACACCTTAAATATATACAATATTTACTTGTCAATTATCCCTCAGGAAAGCTGAAAAAATAAATAAAATTTACTTGTTTCTCATTTAGAAATTTGCAAGAATATTTCCAGAACTTAAAAAAGTAGTATGTATACTGGCTAGAACTTGATAGTAAAGTCAAAACACGAAAGGAAAACAAAGAAGGAAGGAAGAAAGGAAGGAAGGAAGGCAAGAAGGAAGGAAGGAAGGAAGGAAGGAAGGAAGGAAGGAAGGAAGGAAGGAAGGAAGGAAAGGAGGGAAGGATGGAGGGAGTTGACCATTTACATGCCAGGAACTAACTCAGATGTATCGTACACCTGATAACTGAGCATGCAATCTACTTCTTGCTCTTGCCTGTGATCTGTAAGTGTGCTGCAGATGGCATCAATGCTTTTCTCCTAAAAACAACTCAACTCAGTCCTGGGCTAGAATAAGATGCTAAAACATTGGAGAAACTATTAGAGCTGTGGCTTCTGTATATTCACTTGGTACTTATACATTAACTGCCAGAATAACTTCTGCAAATATTTAACAATCACTGTCCTTTTAATGTTTACTCTTTCTCTTTTTCTCTTATACGTATGTTCTTAAAGACACTTATACTGTAAAGGCTATTCCTGTTGCTCATATAGTAAAAGAAAGTCTCAGACAAGTTTTACTTGATTGAATTACTTGAAGTTGCTCTATTAATTAGGCTTACTAAGCCAGTTTTTAATTGTATAATTTATACATTCCCATTAGTAATATATGATAATGCCTTCCAAAAATGCCTAACTGCAAACTATAACATAGTTTAGACTTAGAAGAATTTGACGTGGAAAAATGGCGTTATTAATATGTATAGAAACACATCAATTTTATTTCTTGATATCCTTCAATTTTAATAGTTTTTAAAGTTCTGATTCATGACCTTGAGTAAAATACATATCAGAGCTAATGAAATTATACTACATTTTTAAATTTCAAGCTATGCATACCACTCTTAACTATTTGCCTAGTTGGTCAGTAGTTAAGAATATGCTTTAGTTTTTAATACATTTAAAATGAATAAGTATCCACAAAATCTATATTCTTAGGTATCTCGTTTCATAGATACAAGCGGACTCATTAATTAATTGTATATTGAGGTTTGCCTTGCATATTGTCAATGATTTTATATTCTATGATTCAGTGATTAGGCATTGCAATTGCTTTCTATTAAAATCTTTTTTATCATTACCAAATTCAGTGGATAAATTGGAATAAAATTGTTGAAGACTATACTTTCAGGGGAGTTTGATGGTGAAAGGGGAGAGAAAATGGTATGCAAGGAAGGGTCAGCAACAAATGAGGAATCTAGGTTATAATAGTGTTCAAATTTTTTTTTTTTTCCATTTCAGGGACACCCTCTTTTTAAAGGACATTCTATACAAATGTAGCTTCTCTGGTTAAAGTATGGTGAAGTCTGTCCTGTGGGCACTCCCCATTGACTCCTAGCAGCTCTTGAGCCCCATCTTCAGGATCCATACTTTGATAGTCACTGACCATTAACTCTGAAAATCTATAGTTCCAATCCTGTGAAATGAGAAGAAAGTTGAAGCTATAAAGGAAGTCTTTGCCTGCATTCAGATTCTGACACCAAAAACTCCTCTGATTATACTGAAGTATGTAAGAAAACCTTCTCTGGAAATCAGGGACCGTTTCTGTTCATCTTATCTTGAGCTACAACCCAAATAGGAGTACACATATGTAGGATTCAATAAATAATTTAAGATAATTGTGAACACCTTGCTCTGGCTGGTTCTATTTTTACATTCAGAGAGGAAAGCATTCTGTATTCTCCCTATAAACAAGTCTAGGAGCACAGGGTCATGGACATCCTCTGTGCACAAAATTACAGTCCGATGTTGGGTATCTTTCTCCTGTGAAGTGAAGGGAAATAGAAAAGTAAACAAAGAGGACCACAGTATAAGATATCACCTCAAAATATAAACCTGAAGACAAGAAAAACCAGGCTCAAGGAACAAATGAACAGGAAAGTTGAAATTCTAGAATACATTTGCTTTATACCAATATTATTTACATCTTGTTTAAATGAAAAGTTGTTTACATACCAATGGATGACAACAAAGAAACAGCATGGAAACTGGAATCAGAGGCCTGTGTCTGAATTTCACATCTACCATTGAACAACTGCATGACATTGGGAAATTTACTTAGTTTCTGTAGACCTCATTTTTCTTATCTGTAAAATGGCTTCCACAATCTGAAACTCAAAGGTTTCTTGACAAGATTGAATGTGATAATTCATGTAAGGGATCAGGACGAAACCCAGCACATAAAAGACTGCAAGCTAACACTGTTTACAAACACTGTTTCCAAGAAAAAAAAAATGCTCATTGAAACTGAAGGCACCAGTGTCTGTTGGGTTCAGCATGTAGCAAGATGCTCAACTATCTGCCTCAGGTAAGCTTAGTGCGCCTACATACTTCACTAACGATAGCAAGTTTAGAGGTTCTTTGCTTATGTAATTCAGGTGATATAATTGTTCTATGGTTATGCCCTTCTCACTTTGTCTTAAATAGTGCAAAATATGTGATACCATTACACATTTCTTATCAGGAAAATATTTCAAAGGACAGGCACTGTCTGTAGTTCCTTAGTAACAGCAGCTACATGGAGCATCTTCTGTATTATGTTTAGCATGGTGCATATATGAACAAGTAATCACAACTCCTACACACCAGCAACTACAGAAATGTAGCTTCTATAAAATAGGTGGCATTCATATTTGTTTGTTGGCTATTACCTGGGACTTTTTAAGAACATGTTTTTGCTTAATCTTGTTTTCTTTTTAAATTCTAAACCCTTTTTTGTGTAATGTTGCAGCAGAAGCCAGGGTCTCAGAAAACATCTCCTGTTCTGATCTGGCACAGTTCCAATTATATGGATAACCTTCCATTTGTAGAGCTCTGAAATAAGTGTCACAAGGATACATATATTTAAGATGCAGGTCCACCTAGAAGAAGTACAATCTGGTTGAAGGATCGTGGGGCAATAAAACAAGTACATAACTCACTTTGTTACAAGGCATAATATGGTAAATCCTCATCTACTGGGACTACCCAAGTTTGACAACCCGTCTCTCATGTCTTATGGCCACCAATGACTGCAGTCTTTCATTGTGAACTTGGGTTTGGTCTCAGAAATCTTCTCAACACGATGCTTTGTCAAGCCAACAATGTTTGAGCAAAGTCAGTCATTTATTTAGTATCTCTGGATTATTGCATTAGTGATTCTTACTGAAAACACTCAAGTCACCTGAGAGAACTGATCTGTTTATTAATAACTTTTAGGATGTCAACATTTCATATTTGAACAGAGAAATCTAACATTACTTCACAGAAAACAGGAGTGGTCACAGGAATGAAAAATTCACTTATCTTTAGGAACCAAGTTATTATTATAAATGAGTGTCATGGACTGGATAAGAAAACAAGGACTGGTTGGACCAGAATTATAGGAGAATGCAGACACAAAGGTATTTAAATTTTAAAATTCTAAGAACAAAATATAACTATAGTAAAGAAATCTTTGGACTATTTTTGGCGTATGGATCATGGTTTGCAAACTCTTGATCTGTGACACAGATGTTAAAGGTGGGGTAATGAGGTTGTGTGTGCAGATCTCCAAATGCCAGAGCATCACGGGCAGCACTAACCTTCATGGTGCCTACAGGAGGGCTATAAGACAGAAGCAAGTTCTCCATTCTGCCTTAGTCAGGCCTGACTATACCAAGGTTTATAACTGGAGATACAAGCCAAGTCATATCCCTGATAATTCAGCAACGTCCAGAGAAATATGGCATGAATTCATACAAACTAATCAAGTGCATAACATTAAGAAACTGCAATTTTGAGTTGTTGCGTATGCTGTTTATAGTGGCCTATTTCTAAATTAAAAGGAAGACTATTTCTGTTTTTCTCTTTCTGCACTTGATAAAATTAAGAAAAATGTGGACAATGACAAGAATAATAATAGAATTTGTAATATAAGTTCAAGCCATCCTTAAATAAATATACATTTATCTGCTTTCAGTGAATGAAGAACAAAGGTGAAAAGCTATCTCCTTCTGTGTCCCATGTAAACTATACATAGTTATAGATCACTTATACCACTTCCCTGTTTTCCTGAGTAGAAGCATCCTTCCTAGAAGCAGAGTATTTTAAGAAGAAAATGAAAGTAGTTTGGCCTAAGGCTTTTTAAAATTTACATTTTATTCCTTGTGAATTTGCTATACCAGAGAATTGCTGAAAGAAGAATTAGAGAACTAATACTTTTGAAAAAAATTCATGTAAGAAAATCTTTGCCAAATCTCTGACCTACATTACAACTGGTATTAATATGGTAGGATTCTTATGAGATACACATGAATTTTAGAAAATTATACACAGATATTTCAAAATCTTCAATACATATTCTACATATTAGGTGATAGAATCTTGAACAAACTCCTAGGATTCATTTTCTAAGAATTTTGTTGTTCTCCTAGTCCAAGAATATTAGTTACGCATTCAGTCCAAATGCATTATTGGTGAAATTTTGGCTCAAATCAATATAGTCAGAAATATTTATTGAACACCTCATGTTTGTGTTTGATTCTGTCACTTTCTAAAAAAAAGCAGTAAGCATAAATCTACCTTTCAAAATGTTTTTTAAAAGACTGCCTTAAAACTGTATCTTAAAAATATTCAGATATAGTGAAATGCCCCATAGAATTTTTTGATAGAGACCTTTAACAAATTTTACACTATCTTTTTTCCTTATCAAGTGTATAGTGCAAACTAGGCACAACACTATGAAAGAAAAGTGACCCCCCACCTATAAAGAGGCCCCAATTCAATAAGGGAGATAGACAATAAAAAACAATTACAAATCTGCTGCAAAAGACCAGACATCCAGTGTCATCTCACATACTGTACATTTTGGATTGACTAATTCCTGTGCAACACTTCTAGACAAACTCTAAATGACCACTTATGATTAATTCTAGTGTATTCTTGGTGAGCAGTGTTTGCGTAGGGTCAGTTATGTGTCTATTACTGAAGACCCTCTGTGTGAAGCCCCACTTGAGAAATATCTTTTATTTTTTTAAGTAGTAGGCAAAGCTTTGCTTCCCACGAGAAACAGATGTTTTCTCCTTTTTAACTGGCCCTTTGCACATTTTCCTTAAGCTGTGAAAAAATTCAATGCCAAATTCAATGCTCAAATATAGCAATGATGGGGTCTGAATGGTCCCTATATTGTTTTTAATTTTTTCTCCCTAAATTTTTTATTTAATTTAAATTTCTTCTTTAAATTTTTGGAGAAATATTTTACTATTGAATTCCATACATCTTTCTAAAACAGTAATATATTCCTTGTGGAACCACATGAAGCATAGGTAATAATCAACTAATATTTTTAAAAGATGAGGTAAATATTAATATATCAATCATTACAACTCAGACCTTTAATATTTAGAAGACTGTTTTATGATCGTTATAAATATTTTTAAGTAATCCTCATTTTCTCAAATTGTTCTGTTCAAAAAACAATATTCGTAAAATTAGAATTTATCTAAAATCAGATTGAACAGTACATATATGATCAAGTTCCCCTCCCCCGCCACTTTTCAAATTCTAGAACATTTTGAGGCTAAAAGTATACCAAGGGCAAAATTCCAACCTATTTGCAAATCATAGAAAAACACAGGTGCAACTGGAACAAACTGCTGTCATGCAAAAGGACATTTTCATTTTTGGTAAAACAATTTGCGTTCCTGGTTCGCATTTCAAAGCCTTAGAAAGTCCAGGGCATCATCAATTATACACTTGTCTTTTCTGTATTTCTGTATTGCTGTCTTAACAGAGCTTATGGAAGTGTAAGAAAGGGACTTTGCATTATAAAGTACTTTGTTTTACACACACACACACACAGGTGCGCACACACACAGGCACGTGCGCACACACACACCTGCTCAGAATTGGGTGCACCAACTCAAAGCTGTTGAATACAAGACAATACAAATATACACATTTTATCTTTTATAAGATAAAAGATTTCTTATCAACCTTCCACCACAACAAACAATGGGTATTCCAGGGGCAGATCATAGGGCATCCACTGAGCCTTCCAAAAAACAAAGAAGGACTTATGGTGAAGGAACTTAAACCCGGATAGAAAAATAACCAGGTGTAGCATTGTAGAAAATGAGTGTAAGTGAGAATTGCTATTGCTGCCGTGATTTCAGCACCCTAAATATTTAAGCATAAATATTTAAATTGAGATGGGAAATATTTATGTTAAAAAAGAAAGCTTTTCTTTTTCATATTTTAAATCCCCAGTAATACCTGGGGATTTGCCAGGTCTTTTTACTGAAAGTCTTGTACAACATCAGTATTTTTACATTTTTATTGAGTATACTATTATCACCTATGGTAATTTGTTTGTTTTTTATCTATCATCTCCAACTTAAAAGCTTTGATGAAAACAGTAACATCACGATACCTCAAGCTCTAATTCCAAATGTTTCATGAAGTGTCCTTTGAAGTGTTTAGCCCACTCTTGTGGTAAACAATATTGTTTCTTTATTACCCACTCACATGATGCACGATTACTAAGTTTTTAAAAAGGCATTATTCATGCACATGTACAGAACATCACTTGTTAAAACTAATGAAAATAAAAACTTCGAAGCCTTTTATTATTCCTTGTGCTTTGAATGCTAAAATACAATAATAATCAATGTTGACCATTAATGGCAAATGCCAATGTGCTAGGCCTTTGACACCCTTTTGATATTGCAGAACTCCTATCTTTAGAGCACTAAAAGTAATCCTGTGTTCTTGTAGTCTTATCCTATTTGGTTTTTAGTTTTTTATTGGGTGTCAAGTGTTAGTATTTAGAAAAACAGATTAAGGTGATGGTAGTTATCAGAAATCTCTTGCTGGCTTTTCTCTCCTTGTAAGAAAGGAAAAATGTACTTAAATGCTACATATAAATATTGACATTTATTTCACATTTTACATAAAATTCATGTTTTTTAAAGCCATGCTGCTTATATTTATGCAAGGATAAACACAAGGGTTTTCTATTTTAGAAGAAGAAAAAATTATGTATTCTGAACTAATGTGAAGAGGGTAGAACTACTTAGAAAATAAGTGCATATTTGGTAAAGTAAAATAACGCCATTCTAAAAAATAAATAATAATGAAGCAAAGGTATTAGTGGGGATTTAAAGTATGAAAAAGACAAGCTTTTTCAAGCATAAATATTTCCCTTCTTAAATTACATATTTACACTTAAATATTTAGGGTGCTGAAATTAACAGCAGGAATAGCAATTCTCAACAATTATCTATTTTTAATTTACACAAGCAAATTTTGGAATAAAAAATTAGTAGGATTCTGAAGTAATTTCTTTTT